TTTACTACTATATATAAAACACTAAAAATGTTTTACAAAGTAGTCATGATTTTATTAATTGGGGAGTTACAAGAAGAAAGCTAAAGGAGCATAAGAGCTAGTCCTTTAAAGATGAAATTTTCTGCCTTTCTAGAAGTGGGCCATTTTTGGATTCGTTATTCATGAGATTCATACTGGAGACGACATTTTTAGAGGAAAATGGGGTATTAATTGATATTAGAAAACGGCAAGACCTACAAAGATTAGACAGGGACAAGTGCTGGATGCAAAGTGTGTAGTACATGAGGAAGTAAGCTCCATGAGGGAAGGAAAACTTATTTGTTCCTGCTGTATCCCTAGTGCTAGAAACTCTACTGTGCATATTTGTAAACATGCGAATGCCCAGGATCAAAGGCGACAGTCATTGTTTTGCTCAGTCCCATTGCTGGATGGAAACAGGCCTAAGATTTCCAGATCTCTCAAGTTTCCAGGTGGAACCAGAAATCTAGAGTTTTAAAATGGAGAAATCTGAATTTTAAATACAGTATTAGCAGTGAATTCAAATTTGGGGATCAAAGAAAACCTGTCTGTCACAAAGGTCACCAATTTGCCACTTCTAGAAATGAAATAATGTAGGTAAATATAAGGTTATGCATGATAGTGTTTGCTTGAGTCAGATCTGTTGTTGATGTATGCTTTAAGTTAAGCATTGTATAGCTAAGAAAACCCTCTTGCCCTGATTGGAAACATCCTGCAGCAAAAGTAAATATGCACAGAGGTTTCCACGGAACTTCATTGTGCTCCTGGGCCTTTACCCTTCAGGAAGGACTTAAGAATGCAAGCCTCTCTTTTAGTGAGTCTTGTCCTAGGTGTTACTGTATCTATAGATTGGTGACTCAGGAGCACAGATAGACCGTCACATTAAAAGGAAAGAAAAATAGCTGTCATGTGTTGCATTCAACTTTAGAAGTGGAAATGGCCTTTGTATCTTCTAGTGTAGTCTCTTCTTCAGAAAGACATGGGAATCAACGTGGATGCCATCCTAGTGCAGGTAAGAGATAAGAAAGCTCCATAATTCATTCACGTGCATGTAATTATTTGATTCTCCGTATTTTTCCAAAGACTAGATGGCTTATACAAAGAAAACAGGTTAAACAAAGGGAAAATACAAGATTATGAAAGAAAAATGAATCCGTTTGAATAGGGCTCCATTTTTCATACTGGTTTGGTAACATCCAATACTTATCCTATTATGCATAACTTTATATTTACCTACACTGTTTCATCAGACAAGTCATGTAACTTCTCAGTTTTGTCATCTATAAAATTTGAATTTTCTGGAGGATTAAATGAGGTAATATATTTTAGATACATATCCTGGTGGCAAAAAATAGTAAATACTCAATAAATAATAGCCAAAAGTATATATACTGGTATATATGGGTTAATATAGATACCATGGTAGAGTGTATCAGATTCAGATTCTTGACAGTATAGGTGAAGGGGAAAATTAAAACCCTTTGCACTCGGATGTCTCCTCTGAGGGAACATTGTAAATCTAGCATACCACTCGGATGTCCCCTCTTGGCACATAAAGAGATTGCTGGTGACTATAGGACAAACTTACGTAAGCACAAATTTTTCAAAAACATGTGTCCTTGAAGTTTCCCATTCAAATTGCATGAAAAACAAATAAGGAGATGGAATATATACTGAGATATGATTGATCAGTTGAGAAGTGGTTTTCAGGAATCACATGTGCATCCTTCCATATCTTTGAACAACAGATTGGACAACTGCATATTAATGTGGGAGGAAGACAACGAGACTGCATTGTCTGCTTGAATAGAAAAACACCAGGTAGAAGACATTAAACAAATCATTGCACAGCATGCATCAGTGAACCTGCAATGCATGTTGGTGACTGTTTCACACATTACCATATTAGAAAAATATGAAGTATAAAATTTTGATTTTTTTGTCATAAGTTCCTTAATGTCCAAAATTCCACTATAAGCCACATATCATTATAATAAAATAATTGGTTCCAATGCTGTACTACTTAATATGAAGTGATTTGTTTTTCACTATTTCATTAAAAAGTGTGGTCAAGTTGCTGGTAGGTGATCCTCAAGATGTCTCCGAGTGCAAAGGGTTAAAGAAGTTTCATGGAAAAACACATGTTCTTTAGAATAACATGTTTTTCCTAGCACCAAATAGATATCCCAGAGGGTTCTAGGGATATTGAGTACTGGAGTTGATTGTCCTTGACCCCAAGTTATTTAACAGCTACCATGTATAAATATGCAATTTATGGTATGCGCTTAATTTTGGTCTCGTTTGTTATTTGTAAAAAATGCCAAACGAAGTCTTCTGCTAGCTGCCTTTTTCATTTAACCTTATAGTCCTATAGCTTGTTTATAACTAGTTCATTCATATTCATTACCATGTAACCTTCCGCGGTGTAATTATATCACAATTCAGACTTGCTGTTGATGGGCATTTAGGTTGTGCCAGGGTTTTTGCTATTGCAAATGGCAGTGCTATAAACATTCCTGGATAGGCCTCCTGGCACTTAAGTGCACTCCCATCCAGCAACCTGTCTTGTAAATTCCAGCTGTCTCAGCCCCAGACTCCCACCCTGCCTTCTCAGCTTAGCAGCAGTATCATTCCTCCCTCCACAGTTGGTAACATTCTCCCAAGGAGACATACATGGGAAACCTGGGCTTCTCCTTGTGAATTTCCCTTCTTTTAAATATGTCTGCTCTGATTGTTATCCAGTTCCTGAAAACAGCTGTCCCATGTATTTTGTCCAGTTGTATAGTAGTTTGGCATAGCAGGAGGAAGTCCAATATCAATCACCATGTTATAGCCAGAAGTGGAAGTCTATTCATCTTTGTCTTCTGCTAAAAGTTTTTGTTTGGTTTGGGCACTTAATTCTTAAACAGATGGAGTTTATGTGCTTATTCCAAAAGCCCCAGAGAAATTTCATGTAAAGGTAACGTAAAGGACACACTGTCTTAGATATTCTTTAAGATACACTTAGTTTTAGCCAAGGCTTAAATTAGACTACTGAAACCTACTTTCTACACATGCTATGTGGAGGGCATGAGGTAGGGATCCTTTCTTCTCTGATGGTAACTACGTCAACTCCAGTTTCTCTAATCTCTGAACTTCATTTCTTCACTTGTAAAGTGCAGGTTATGGTATCTGTTATGTGAAACGCATGCACACATATACCCTTTATAGTGACTTGCAGTGTAGTTATCTTATTCTTCTGATTAAACAGATTTAAAAACTTTTAAATCAGATAATTAGTTAACATTTATATCATCCTATGTGCCAGGAACTACTCTAAGCACTTCATGTATGTTAACTTATTTAATCCTAACAATAGCCCTATAAATAGGCACTATTATTTCCCACATTTTATAAGTGAGGAAAGTAAAGGATATAGGTTAAATAAGTCATCCAAGGTCATACAGATAATTTGTAGTGGAACAGGGATTTGAATACAGGCAGTCAGTCTTCAGAGTCCAGTATATTATACCACCATTCAGATGAGCGGATTGCAACATCATTCTCTTAGGAAAATTAAGAAGTACTCCATCCACCTCTGCTCAGTTGTAAGCCCCAGGTCCAATTTTCTCAAAAAATTGAAATCCACAAATCTCAATTATAAGCATTTAAAATCTTAAAAATCAGAATTGCAAAGCAATTACTGAATCTAAAGACAGTCCTTCCTTTAATCTCTAATTCCAGGGATGGGTGTCCCCCAAAACTATTTTTTTTGGCTTTTGTCTCTTTTCTTGAGACAGATTGTTTCTAATGAATACTGATATCTGTTATGTGTGCGTTTTCATAGTGTTTAATACTTTTTAAAAAGCGCTCACATAGATTTTCACGTATCTAAACTCTTGGCCTCCTAGGTTGCCTGGCTCTGGTCAGATACCTGTCTGTCATGTTTCCCAATGAATTATATGTGGATTTTTTTCTTACATTCTGTCCAGGAATGAAATATATTCCAAGATCCCTGTGAGAGACTATTTTAAGAAATAAGTGAACGCTCATTTACTCCAGCCTGATGTTAGGTCACTTTTTCAGATTTCATTTTTTTTTTTTTTGAGTTGGAGTCTCACTCTGTCGCTCAGACTGGAGTGCAGTGGCCCGGCCACCGCAGCCTTGACCTGCTGGGCTCCGGCGATCCTTCCGCCTCAGCCTTCCAGGTAGCCGGAATTACAGGCATGTGCTACCACACCCAGCTGATTTTTTTTGATTTATTGTAGAGATGAGGTCTCGCTGCCCAGGCGGATCTCGAACCCACGGGCTCAGGCAATCCACTCACCTTAGCCTCCCAAAGGCGCGGGATTACAGGCTGAGCCACCAAGCCCGGCCTTTTCAGATTTCTTAACCAGCCTCTCCAGCAGCTAAGACTTGGGAGACATGGCAATTCTCCCAGTCAGCTGAGAGAAAGTTTTCCAAATCAATATAGCCACTTACTGGAATCTGTTAGCAGCCAGATCTTCCTCTTGAGATGTGTTTTGTACCACAAGATCCTATGGACTATTTCTAATTTAATTTTGGTAGACTTCTCTTCACTTCTCTCATTTGATCTGTCAGGTTGCAAAGATTTTTAATTTAAAAAAATAAATAAATAAATAAAATTTTTTTAATAATTAAAAAAACAAACAAACATTTTGCTTCCAACAGGCAATTATATAGTGTAATACACTGCCAAGAAAGATATATTTTGCTGGGGTTACTTTTTATATCTGTATATGTGACTTTAAAAATTGAGATACGTAGGCAAACAGGTAAAAATAAACCTTCTACAGGTAACAGGTAAGTAAGCTCTAAGTATTCTAAGCACATGTAATAGAACTCTAATCAACACCAACAAATAACTATGGTTTAAAATATTTTAACTATGACTTCTATCTTGTAAACAAGAAAATCAAGTAGTTCTTTCAAACGTGCTGTGTTTATATTTAGAAATGATTGCAAGTTCTGAAAAAAACCCATGAATTAAAATACAATATTTTATTTTTTCTCACCTAGAAAGCAACCCAGAATTAAGATATACATAAGCTTCTCAAATTTACCCTAATAAAATCTTGAATATTTATACAATTTCTACAGAAACATACAGTGTATCAAAATCTGCATAAATCAAATTTATAAAATGTGTAGAAATGCATAGTGATATTATCAACTTACAAAGCAAGGGTATGGGAATTATTTCCAAAACAGCCTACAGTAAAAAATAGTCATTATGGCAGCAGCTTCTGATGGTTTTTGTTTGGTAAGGTTTCTGATTTCAATATATAGATCATATTCATAGAGTATCTTCTTTTAACAAATTGCACAAAATACCCATTTAAAATGTACATGCACAGTTCACCACCACCCTTCCTAGGCCTATGCATAGTTAACGAGGTTATAATCTACTCAACATGGAAAGGGAGGCCTATCTGCAAACAAGTCATTCAAGTCCCAATTCTCTTAGTTTCTTGTGTATATTTGACTTATTTTGCAATTATATAAGCATACAAATGTTAAACATTCCTAGAGATGAAAGTTAAAATGAAATGATTGGTCACAGATCAGTAGCAAAATACAAATTGACAATTCAAAATTATAAATAAAACTGCTGAGGATGTTTAACTTTGACTCTCCAAATTTAAGAGCTGAGCTTGGAAGAAACAAATGTAGGGTTTTTTTTTTTCCTCTTCTTTCTTAGCTTCAATTAAAAATATTTCCCTCTTTAAAAAAAAAATCCCTCTGGCAGTTGTTTGTGAATACCTTTCACTGTAATATTGTAATCACAGGATCAAAAATGCTTACTTGAATCCCTCTCACCTCATCACAGTTTGTTTTTAAAGCACTCAATTCAGGCATGCTCATCTTTTGGGTAATAAAAGAGTATTTACTTAGAAACTAAAATCTAACTGGCCATTTGCAGTATTTGGTTCTCCTGTAGTAGGTATTGTCTTCATAAATGTTTAAATCCAAACAAAATATCTTTTCACTGGAAAAATACTAATTAAAATATGCTTCTGAAAAAAGAAATTAAGACGCATTAGGGAACTAACACCCAATCTAACAGAAAATAGTTCACATTTGTTAATGAACTGTATTTTTAAATAGTCCTTTTTAAAAAATGTTAAAAAACACACAGAGAGTTTCATTTGGATGGAGAAATAAATAAAACATCAATTCCCTGTTGGCTCTGCAGGCTGCACAGCTTAGGTTATAATGCACAGGAATTTTAGAAGCCTTCCTCTGACGAGGGTTTGGAAGTTCTTACCTCAGTCAAAATGAAAGTTTGACGTGTTCATGGTGGTGGTGTGTTGTTTTTGTTACCTCCTTTCAGGTTTTGAAACCGAGCATTATTTATAGTTTTCTGTAGTGACAGGTCCCGGAGAAAAGTAAATCCCAAATGCAGTGGCCATTTTTCTCTTGTTGGAAGACTCCTTTACCATCCTAGGGGTAGATGGGCATGGACAGAGGGCACCAGGAATGCCAGCAGGTAAGGGGTTAATGCCACCCATCTTCAAACCCCACAGAATAGCCTTGGGATGTTTCCTATTGTCATTTTTTTTTTTTAACAAGCCATACAACATTCAGCTTTACAGCAAATGGCAGCACATAAATTCATTTCTGAGTAATAAAAATGTTCCCTAAACAGGTAACTATGCCATTACCATCCTATAAATTTCATCAAAAGCTCTTGAAATATATACTGAGAAATGAAAGAGGCACTAAATGTGTTGAAATTCACCTTTCAAAAAGCAGCATGACTGTGAAGGAAGGCCACCTTGGCTAGAACCTGTGGCAGTGCTTCAAAAAGATGTAGAATTAAATAAAGACACGACAGGTTGACAATCACCAAGTTATATATGAAAGTCTGGTTACTCCAACCTTTTTTCAAGTGTGTTAAAAATAAAAATCAAACTGCCTTTCAGACCCCTGAGTGTAATCCCAAAGAAGACAACATGCTTTTAACTCTGTTCTCGCAAAACAGAGCTAAAGGCACAGATTACCAACATCATCTGAAAACAAAACAAAAAAGATGTAAACATCTACAAAGTTTAAGGTAAAAGCAGTCTTGTAAACAGTAACTGCAGATGATCATGTTATTGTAAAATCACAGTTTCTCAATGTCCTTCAAACCGATCAGGAGGTTCTGGGTTTGGAGCTGGACACAGTTAATAACGATTGTTGCAGCAGGTTTCAGGCGGTTTCAGTTCCGTATAAATTTACTTGTCAGTAGGTAGGTGATTGGTTTCTTTTATTCTTTCTAGACAGTATGGATGTTATTCATTTCCCACTTTTGAGTCGCTTTGCTGGAGTCGCAGTTGGAGATGAACACTTGATGCAGGACCTCTGAGCGATCTAAGCACTTTCCCGAAGGAATGTGAGTAAATCTGTGGAGGTTCTGGAGAACACAGGAAGGAAAGAGAAATACGGTTTTTTGTTTTCTTTTGTTTTTTGAGTTGGAGTCTCACTTTTGTCATGAAAGAGAAGTTCTAAGGTCTCCCAGGCTGGAGTGCAGTGGTATAATCACGGCTCACTGCAGCCTCAGCCTCTTGGGCTCAGGCAGTCCTTCTGTCTCAGCCTCCCGGGTAGCTGGGACTACCTGTGCACACCACCACACATGCCTGGCTAATTATCTTATTTTTTGTTTTTTGTAGAGATAAGGTCTCACTATGTTGCCCAGGCTGGTCAAGCAATCCTCCCGCCTCATCCTCCCAAAGTACTGGGGTTACAGGCTGAGCCACCATGCCTGGCTTCTGCCATTATATAGTGTGCTTTAGCTGTTTTTTTGAACCCTCCTACAGTCCACCACACCACTGGGCTGTGACTATCTAGTAATGTCTAATACACAAATGGATATTCAGCTGTGTTCTTGAAAATACCTAAACATGTATATGTCTTTTTGTTTTTTGAGACAGGGTCTTGCTCTGTCACCTAGGCTAGATTGCAGTGGCGTGATCACAGCTCACTGCAGCCTTAAATTCCTGGGCGATCCTCCTGGCTCAGCCTCCCAAGTAGCTGGGACCACAGGTGTATACCACCACACCTGACTATTTAAAACAAAGTTTTATAGTGATGGAATTTCGCTGTGTTGCCTATGCTGGTCTCAAACTCTTGGCCTCAAGCAGTCTTCCTGCTCCAGCCTCTCAAAGTGCTGGGATTATAGGCATAAGCAGTCACGCCCAGTCTATGCTGTTTCTTCATCCATTGCTTCTTGATGATAGTTTCTGCTCTGCTAGCCTTTTACTATTTTGCAATTAGTAAAAATAGCTTACTAATATTGTTTCCACTGATCTCTACCATTTATTGCTATCATTCATTTTTCTTTGTGAATATAAATGCGCTCTCTAGTCTATAGGGTTTATGTTAATCTTCTCCTTCCTAGCTTATAATATAAGAAAAAAAATCGGGGCAACCCCTTCGGGTCCTCTCCCACTGTGGGAGCTATTCTGTCTTCTCAATAAATCCTGCTTTCTCAAAAAAAAAAAAGAAAGAAAGAAAAGGAAAAAAATCAACAATAGATACATGCTTACCGTTTTATAGTAATTAATTACCTAAGAATGATGATATCAAGGAATACTAAGATGGGTCATAAAATGATTCCTACACAGTGAACAAATATTAGATGGGTAAACAAAATAGGGGGGCCAGGCAGTTTTCTGTTTGAGGCAGCTTTCCCAACTTTTTGTTTCATAATAAATTGATTTATTTTAGTCAAATTTAGACTGGAAACTGCTTAAATCCACTGATATGTTGTAATACTCAACTTGCCACGTAGTTTTAAGCACTCACAGCTGAAATAGAAAACTGCCCCAGCAGTGTCAGGTGAATAAATTTGACCTTTATAGCAAGCAACTGGCTATGTGTATCTGTTCTATTTAGCAAACACTAAAAGGAAGTTGGGAAAGCTGTTCCTGTTTTATTTGTTTGCCTCTATCTCCACCTGCTGGACAACAGGAAATATTAACTAAAATTTTTATGGCATATATTTGGGTGTGTGTGTGCGTACAGATGTATATATTGTATATATATTTTTAGAGACAGAGTCTCTCTATGTTTGCCCTGGCAGGACTTGAACTCCTGGGCTCAAGCAATCCTCTTGCCTCAGCTTCCCAAGTAGCTGGGACTACAGGTGTGTACCACCATGCCTGGCTTGTATAAATGTATTTTACTTTAATGATTGATTCATTTAGATTTTAAAAATCAGATTTGGATGCGAGAACAATGGTGACAACTGTCTCTTATAGAACACTGATTTTTCTGCTACTGACATTAGCAGTGGTTGTTCATGGACATCACCGTGACTTCATTATGTGACATATTGCACTGGAGAACAAAAATGACACCTCACTATGGAACAATCAGTCATCCAGTACCCAGGGAAATCTATACAAATGACGAAATGAGAGGAAAATGCAAGTAAATCAGAATTCAGCCTTTAAGACTTGTTCACCTAAATGCCACATGCCCATGCTGCCCATTGAAAGTGGACTGGATAAAAAAAAGTGTGGTATATATACACAATGGAATATTACACAGCCATAAAGAAGGACACAATTAGAGACTCTGCAGCAACTTGGATGGATTTAGAGTTCATCACTCAGTGATCGATCAGAAACAAAGAACTGAGGACCACGTGTTCTCACTCCTAAGCAGACCCTGAACATTTATCCTACCTGAAAGGGATGAGCAGTATCAGCTCACTGCTGGGGGGGTGGTATAAGGGGCACACAGCATGAATAAGGGCAGCTGATCCCAAACCAGGCGGAGTGAGGATCAGTGGGAGGCCCAGACTTCACCTGCATGATGACCACGTATCTACCTAGTCCTGAATTGTACCTCACATCTTTACAATAAAAAAACGAAAATAATTAAGTCAAATAAATGAATGCCACATGCTAGTGTTACCAAAATGAAACAGGGCATAATATTATTCCAGGAGTTAAGCTCAGAATACCTTGAAGTACTGCCATTCCTTAAACTCATTGAGGTTACAGTGCATGATCATCACTTTGGAGCCATCAATCCCCTTTGTCAGGCACTGGTCATACTGCATGAGTTGATTCGCTTCATTGATTCTGAAAAGCTACAATAAATAAATTAATAAATCACAGAGGCATCTTTCCTGATGACATACATTTTAAAAGAAAGAAAGAAGTTAACTCCTATAGCTGAACTGAACAACTAACTTACTTTTCCTTAAGTTTGCTGTGTGTTCAGAACCCGAAGTCCACAGACAGAAACTGTATTTATTTTGGTGTTAGTGAAGACCCTTTATCAACACTTAAATCTTGATGTTCTTCAGCCTCTAAGCTACAGAATGGATCATTAGCACATATTTATTGTGTTCCAACAGAAAAATGACAACAGACCTGATAATGTTTCCCTGGCTAAATGAGACACTAGAAAAACACCCACATACGGTAGTCAGAAAATATATTAGTGAATATGTATTACGGGTGGTAACATCCCAGTTTATTTGGAAAAAGATGTGGATTACTCAACAATCATTGCAAAACAACTGTTTGGGAGCTAGGCTCACAAATTGTGTTTGTGACAAATATATACTCCCACAAGAATATATTTTAATTTCTCTTATCAGACATCAATTGTAGATGCTGATTGCCTACGCGAAACCATCAGTTAACCGAATGTTTTAACACTGTCAGCTTTTTAACAGAATGTTTTACTTTATCCAAACAAACAAAATTACCAAACTGAAAACCAAACTAAACCCTGTGATAGAGTAAACCCAGTGGCTCTCAACACAGACCAGTTTAAACACAAAAGTAGGAGACTCCCCTGACTCCCCGCCATCCCGTGCAGGGTCCTAGCTCAGCACCCAGTAGGAGGCTCACCTGATTTCCCCCCATCCTGTGGCAGGGCCCCAGCTCAACAAAGCCACCGTTGGTTTTCCCCATGCTGTCAATGCAGTAAGCAGTTTCCAAACCTCGAATCTAAAACATGACCACAGGAGCAAAACACAGGAGACAGCTTAGTTTTCAGGAAATTCCAGTATCCTGGTCAAGGTTGCTGTGAGCCGTCATCACCTTGATCATGTCACTACACTCCAGTCTGGGTGATGGAGTGAGATCCCGACTCAAAAACAAAACAAACAAAAAAAAAGAACTCCAGCACCAGGGTACAAGCACTTCATATTTGCCATTCACAGCAAATACGTGGGTGTGTGTAGTGCCAGGTTATTAATGGGTTCTCAGTCTTTGGGTCACCCTGAGTACTCTTGGAATCATGTATGGTCTTGATGTCAGCAATGGAATGAACTCTTTCCAACTAAGGACACTGGCCTACATAAAATACCACAGAAGGAAAAAAAAAAGATACCATTAAAGACAATGTCAGAATCGTGTAAGTTCGTGTGAGTAAAGCTGCCTGACCACAGTGTGACAGACAGATGCCCTAAACATCTAGAACAAAGCTGGACTTGAAAGGCAGTGCTGGGAGGGAGGTCGGGACAACCTGCACCGCACTCTTGAGGTAGCTGCCTCCAGGTGAGGGGGCAAACCCGGCCCAAGCAGTGAGGCTCTTCTCCGACTATGGATAATGCAGGTGAAAAGCAAACATAGGTTTCCATCTCCAGAATGTACATTTTATATATAATTAACTATTTTTGGAAATATTATATATTTATTATAAGTCACTACAGTATTTGGATACAACGTTTTATTCCGCTAGTCAGCAAATACTGACCACGCACCTGGATGATGAGAACTTGAGGGTAGAAAGAGGGTCAAGTAGGCCAGGTACAGTGGCTCATCCTTGTAATCCCAGCAATTTGGGAGGTCAAGGCTAGAGGACAGCTTGAGCACAAAAGTTCAAGATCAGCCTGGGCAACATAGTGAGACCTCATCTCTACAATAAGTCAAAAATTAACTGGGCATGGGAGCGCGCCTGTAGTTCCGGCTACTCGGAAGGCTGAGGCGGAAGGATAGCCGGAGCCCAGCAAGTCGAGGCTGTGGTGGCCGGGAGCGGCCACTGCACTCCAGTCTGGGCGACAGAGTGAGACTCCAACTCAAAGAAGAAAAAAAAAAGTCAGGTGTGATGTCACATGTCTGTAATCCCAGCTACTCAGGAGGATGAGACAGGAGGATTGTTTAAGCCTAGAGGGTTGAGGCTGCAGTGAGCCGTGATTGTACCACTGCACTCCAGTATGGGCAACAGAGTGAGAACCTGTGTCCAGAAAAAAGGAAAAAGAAAAAAGGAGCAAGTCATGGTCCTCAGGATGGTCCCAGTCTGCAGAGAGCCAGGGGAGTGCACCACTTGGGACAGAGGCGTGAGGGTACAGGGGTGGGACTGCACACCCCTGGAGGACGCCTAGGACCTTGATGTCACTGGCCCTGTCCTTCACAAACCATCCCAGCAGCGGCCCACCTTCTGGTGGATTATGCATCTACAGTGTCTCTGCTTCTCTTTGTCCCCTGCTCTTGCTCTCTATCATTCAGACCTCACAGTAAATGCCAGCTCTTCACAGAGGCTCTCCTCATCCTGTCCCTATGCCCTCTTGACAGTAAAGTAAGTCCCCTCCTTACGAACCACTTGAGTTCTGTTCTGAGAACTTCATAAGTCCAATTTATTCATAAGTCACAAAGTCAGCCTAGGTGTTCAACTAACATAGTCTGCTACACAGTACTAGCCACCGCTGCTTTTATGCTTGCTTCTAGACATTCTGGGTTTGAAATAATGATACTGCACTGCTGTACTCTATACAGGACTGTATAGTAAAGTACACAAAAGCACAACCACTTGCAGAGGATGCATGCATGTGACAACATACACCAGACACATGGACTAACATGTGATCGGACATGCGAACGCATGTTCGCAACTTTGAAAGTTCGCAACTTGAAGCCTCATATGTAGGGGACTTACTGTATCACGTTTTATTTCCTTTGTAGCTCTGACCAGCATCTGTCATTGTCTTCTTTGTTTTCTGGGACTTTGCAACTTGCATGCAAGCTCCCTGAGGAAAAGGACCTTGTCTGTCCTGTTTTCTGCCTACGAGAATGCCTGGCACATAGTAGACCCTCAGCTTGTATTTGCTGAAAACACAACTAAGCAAAGGCACGTGACCAGAAAGTTCACGGCACATTCAGTGCACCTGCAAGGCAGAGGCATATGGCACACAGGTGGGAACAATCAAAAAGGAGTTCACAAGGACACGACAACAGAGATCAATGTGTTGGTCTAACTCATTCGACACGCACTGTTTGCGAGCCTACTGTATATGGGTTCCTGCATTTGTGCACAGGGATGCAATGGTGACCAAGGTCCTGAAGCATGGAGACTGGGTAGGAGACGGGTGACCCTGGGTGTTGTGAGAACTCTGGAAAGAGCCCAGAACTGAGTCTTGCTGATGAGTGGGGGAGAATGAGAAAGGCTTTTCGGTGGTCAAGAGAGGGGTCATGAGGGCCGCAAGTGGCAGGTGCTGGAGGAAGGAGGGGCTGTGCTGCCAGGGGAGCTCACCCAGCAGCTGGCCAGGCAGCGGTGGTTGTTGGGAAGGGTGGCCAATGCTTCCAGACAGCTTTCACCCAGGCTTTCCCCAGTAATTCTCCTCCACCCACATATTTTTGGCTCTCGCTGCCTTCTTCCGATCTAAGACTTCAAACACACACACTTTGAGATGTGAGCATTAGCGGATGCTTACCTCTCCCCATTCAACATTCTTGGGTGGCAGAGGGTAGTGTGAGGTGATGTCGTAAGCGATTTCTTCCATGAACCACTTGAAGCTTTTACAGTTGTGATCTTCTCGGAATTTCTTCAGCTCTGATATATCCCCATATGGCAACGCCTTGGATTCAGGACGACTGGCATAGAAGTAGTCCTTATACTCATCCCACCACACCTCTACAACTCGAACATAATTCTGTGAGAAAGAAGGTTGATGTCATGATTAAAGGTACAAATAAATGTAATGTCATAAACAGCCTATATTAGACACATGAAATATGACCAACATGTAACACACTCATTTCAACAGGACTTGGCATTTAATTAAACAACAAATGCAAGGGAGCTAATGACTCTAACATGTCATCTGCCAAGGATAAAAATGCCATGTATGTTCAACTAAAAAGCAATATACACAGAATCTGATATCCCTGAGCTGGAAGACCAGCTATTCTAAGATAATGTATTCTAACCTGCTAACAGAAGAAGAAACGGAAGCCCAGGGAGAGTTTATGAGAACCTGGCTGGGCGCTGGTGATTCTCCTAGAATAATCTTCTCCTATTAGAACCACGCTGCTGGTGTGTGCAGGGGAAAAGTACTATTTCAGAAAACATCATGAAAAGCAACAACTGTGTTTAATAAAACACATGTTTGCAGGTGGCTTCATTGATCTTGTTATAACAGAATCATTTTACTACAACCCAAAATTAATTTGATATTTCCCCCGGTCAGTTCACTTTGAGGATAAGCAGCCAAGGAGTAGTACAATAAGCTGATGTTGTGATAACTGACAATGATCTAGCTTCGAAGGTCTTAGTGAATGAATGTTAATGTGTCCCCTCCGTTTCATTCATGGCCACATAGAGAAATAGGGAAAGGAATCGCTTTTGATGAGAAGTTAAAGTTCAGCTTTGACTGTGTCCAGTGAAATGCCTGAGGGATATCTAAGAGGATGGTTCTAGAAGGTCATCCGAGAGGATCATTCTACAAGGCTTGAGGTTCAAAGGAGAACAGAGGAGCTGGAGAAATAGACCTGGCCATTGGTACTCTAGTGGCTCAAGTAGATGGTGCTAGAACTCAAGAAAAGAAGGCCCCTGTGCAAGCCCAGCACTCTAAGTACACACTCAGTGTCACATGTATGGGGCAGTCTGTATGATGTCTACAGTTAACATTCAGAGTGGATAAATATTTCCCTCTCAGCTCTTTTCCTGTTGCCTGCAGAAGAGACCTTCTTGAATCAATCTGGCTTTCCACCAATTTTTCCTGACTGTGGGTCCAGCTCCATAGAAGTTTCTGAAACGTTACTCATGCCTGGTGTTAATTTGGAGCTGTCTTTGTTTTATCACAGACATTTAAATCTCACCCACTGGGGTAGCTGGGCTCTTCTTGGCCAAGCAGAAAGACATGCTGGTTCCCAAAGCCTGGCTGTCTCTGCTTCTGTTCCCATTTGTGAACTGCCCCAAGTTGTATCTGCAGCTGATAATAAACTTCCTTCTGCTCTGAGTTGGTTAAAGAACCCAGAAAATGAGTCATCTGAGTCACACGCCTCTGAGAATTTATGAAAGCAGCCCAACCAAAGAACCTTCAAGGTTGCTTTGCTAAGGGTAGAGGTGTCTGTCGGACGCTGGACCTTCTGCATGAAGCTTCCTTGGATAGTTCCAGAAATAAAGGCCAGGCCTAAGAGTGACTAGTCCGTGAATAAACTGTGAAGAACTGGGCACCCTGACACGGCTGGACGGTCACCAGATCACCATTCACTGCTACAGTGCTTCTAAAGCCACCTCCCCAGTTAAAAACGACCATTCTCTTGGAATAAGGTGACTGTAATACAATAGCTCAGTTCAAAAACCTGGCAGAGATAACCTACGTTGCGGAGAATGGTAGGAATCAATAGAAGAAGCTAGAACTATGATTTATTTCTAATAATTGCGAGTGGAAAAGAGGCCTGGTAGGCTGCTCATCCTACTACGACAGGTCTGATCCATTTAAGTTAAAGTTGCATTTCATTTATAATATTTTAAATATCTAAAACATTTTAAAAACAAATTTATTTTCCTGCAGGTTTGTGAGTTTTTGTAAGACACAGATTATTCATCCTAGCTCTACATCTAGTGTACAGGAGATCAGATTTTGATTAAATAATTATAGCAGACGATTCATTACAATAAAACAATTTGCATGTCATAATGAAAAGTGTTCCAGTGGAATTTCCTTCTGTTTTGTATGAGAGAGGTGGAGAACTGGGAGGCAGAATGTAGTAGGGGAAAGGATGTTCACATTAATGTATAAATCCTTGAGAGACAAAAGACAACAATCTTTTGTAAACACCATTCAGAAATTGGATTTTGCCTGCTATACCAACTCCTAACATGATGACCTTAATTTTTACAAACCAAACAAAAATCTTGTTATTTTTATTTATCTTATTTTCCTTCCTACTACCTCCCCGCATAGTGTCTGCCTTTTAGAATTTATGTGATTTGAGCTCACGGAGAACGTGCAATACGGGACCCTCCATCACAAGGGGGTGCGAGGAGGGGAGGTCACCAAGATGCAGAGCAGACGAAAAAACAAACACAGACCACCGTTCTCAGGCCAAAACAGTCCCGAGAGAGCTCTAGGGCCACGAGGGGATCAGAAGCAACACAGTGGGGCAAGAGAAATGAAGAGACGTCCACATGGAAGGATCCCTGGTGAGATGTGCACACTAGACACCAGGGGATGGCTTGGCACCAGAGAAAGGCAGGCACTGCTGACATCAGCCACGTGGTGAGAGCGACCACGGTGTCCACAGGCTGCTCTGCTGAGGACACCTGCATCTCCTGCCACTGAGGCAAACCCTGGGAACCCAGAGGGATCCACAGTGCACACCCTGCACCACTCAAAAAGCAGCCGCCCTTGAGTTACTCTGGGCAGGGACTTGCCGCCCTCCTGTGCCCCAGGAGCCTTGACGCTGCAACATGGCTGATCTGTGAGTGTCCAAATTGCAAGACACACTCTGCAGTTGATCTGTGAGCGTCCACACTGCAAGATATGCCCTGTGGCTCTCTGCGAGCGTCCACACTGCAAGACAGTTTCTGTGGCTGTCCTGGGCCCACCCAGACTCTCCAGCTATCTCCAGGGTAAGCCAGTTCATGTACCAGGCCCAGAGCCAAGCCCTCATTGCACACAACCCATAAAGATGCCAGCTCGGCTGCCATAGAGAGCCAGGCCCCACCAGGTCCGGGAGCAGCTCTAACTCCACGCCTGCCTGTGCTCCCATTTCTGGCTCCAAAGCGACTTCACAAGCATCGAGCCCCACATGCTGCTGACAACATGGCAGCAAAGCCACCCTACCCTAGCACCAGTTCAGCCACCACAGAGAGCAAGGCCCAACCAGGTCCAGGAGCAACTCTAACTCTACACATGCCTGTGCAGAGTACCCTCAGTTCCCCTGGCTGTTTCACAAACACCCAGGACCTCACATTCTGCTACCAAGTGGCAGACCTCACATTCTGCTACCCAGCTGCCAGGGCCATTGCTGGGGCCATTGCCCCAAAGTCCAGAGCCACAGTCTCTCATCTCATGCTCATGTCTCAGGCCTCAGCCCCACAGTCACTCAGAGGCACCACTCATCAGACACTAGAGCCATCACCACTGCCAGTGAGCCCACGAGTCAGACCCAGCCTCAAGGGGGGGTCCCTCACACACAACTGTGTCAACGAGAGAAAAAGAGATCGAGAGGTCCTCAGCAGCCATATCCACTGAGGATCTTGACATCCCTCACTGCCACTGCAGACATCACAGCATTTGTCACTGAGGATTCCACAATCTTTGTTAACACTGACCTCAGTGGGCAGAGTTGCAGAGAATACATAGTTGGCACCCTCACTGGCGCCAGACTGCTGCATCCCCTCATCCCCTGCATCCAGGGAAAGTCTGTCCACATTGAAACTAGCCTGTAAAGTCTAAAAATTCTGGAGCTGAAAAACAGAACAAATACAAGTATGAGAGAGAGAAAGAGAGAGAGAGACCACGTTAATAGCAGAAGTGATTAAGCAGAAGAAAGAATCTGTGAACTTGAAGACAAGTTATTTGAGAATATAAGTCAAGACAGAAAAAGAATAAAAAGGAATAAAGAAAGCCAGGTCGAGTGTGGTGGCTAAACCTGTAACCCCAGAACTTTAGGAGGTGGAAGTGAGAGGAGTGCATGAGCCCAAATGTTTGAGACCAGCTTGGGCAACTTGGTGAGACCTTGCTTCTACAGCAAATCAAAAAATTAGCCAGCCATGGTGGTGCATGCCTGTAGTTTCAGCTACTTGGAAAACTGAGGCAGAAGGATCACCTGGAATTCAGCTTGTTGAAGCTGCGGTAGCAAAGAGCATGCCACTGCTCTCCAGCCTGGGCAACAGAGTAAGACTCCAACTCAAAAAAAAAAAAAAAAAAAAAGAAAAAAAAGCTAACAGAATTTATGGGACAGCATCAAAAGAGAAAATATTTGCATCATAAGAATTCAATGAAAGACAAAGGGGCAGAAAGCTCATTAAATAATAATAATAGCAAAAATAGCAGAAAACTTCCCAAATCTGAGGAAAGACATAAAATATCCCATGAACAGGAAGGTCAAAGGTCTCCAATCAAAGACAATTCAATACTACACCCAGACAAATCATGATCAAACTGCCACAAATCAAAAACAAAGAGGGGATTCTAAAAGCAGCAAGAGAAAAGAAGCAGCAACATATAAGGGAGAGCTAGTAAGGCTAGCAGCAGATTTCCCAGCAGAGACTTTACAGGCCAGAGAGAGTAGAATGGTATATTCAAAATGCTGAGGGAAAAGAAAACTTTCCAACCAAGAATAATGTGCCCAGCAAAGCTATTCTTCAAAATTAAAGAGGTATAAAGACTCCCAGACAAACAAACACTGCATGAGTTAATCACCACTAGATCTGTTCTCCAAAAGTGCTAATACAAGTGCTTCCAACAGAAAGATAAGGATGTGAATTAGTAACATGAAAACATATGAAAGTATAAAACTCACTGGTAAAGATAAGTACAAAGACAAATTCAGAATAATATTGATGTGTAATGGTGGTATATAAATCACTTATAGCTTTAGAATGAAGGTTAAAAGACAAAACTGTTTTAAAAATAAAAACAGCGACTATAATTCGTTAAATGATGTATAATATAAAAAAATGTAGCCAGGCTCGGTGGCTCAGCCTGTAATCCCACGCCTTTGGGAGGCTGAGGTGAGTGAATTGCCTTAGCCCGCGGGTTCGAGACCCGCCTGGGCAGCGAGGCCTCACCTCTACAATAAATCAAAAAATCAGCCGGGTGTGGTAGTGCATGCCTGTAATTCCGGCTACTTGGAAGGCTGAGATGGAAGGATCGCAGGAGCCCAGCAGGTCGAGGCTGCGGTGGCCGGGAGTGGCCACTGCACTCCATTCTGGGCGACAGAGTGAGACTCCAACTCAAAAAAAAAAAATGTAAACTGTGACATCAAAAACATAAAATGTAGGTGAAAAGGCATGCAGTAAAAGTATAGTTTTTGTATGCAATCAAAGTTAAGTTTTTATCAACGCAAAATAGACTGTTTTAACTATGTTTTATGTGAACTTCACGTTAACCACAAGCAAAAACACAGAAGATACACAAAAGACAAAAGTAAGGAATCAAACATACCATTACAGACAAGTCACCTCATCACAAAAGAAGAGGGCAAAAGAAAAAGAAAAGAATAAAGATCTACAAAATAACCAAAAAACAGTTAATAAAATGGCAGTAGTAAGTCATTACCTATCAATAGTTTCCTTAAATGTAAATGAATTGAATTCTCCAATCAAAAGACATCAAGTGACTGACTATTATGGACAACTATGCATCAACAAATTGAAAAACTTAACAGAAATAGATAAATTCCTGGTCACATATAACCTGTCACAACTGAACCATGAAGAAACAGAAAACCTGAACAAGACAATTACAAGTAACCAGATAGAATCAGTAATAAAAGCTCTCCCATCAAAGCAAAGCCCAGGACCTAATGGCTTCACTGCTGAATTCTATTAAACATTAAAGAATAACTAATACCAATTCTCCTCAAACTCTGCCAGAAAATTGAAAAGGAGGGAATACTTCCAAATTTATTATATGAGGCCAGCATTACGCTGATATCAAAACCAGGCAAGGATACAACAGAAAAGAACACTATAGGCCAATATTCCTGATGAACATAAACGTAAAAATGTGTGAACCATATGAGGCGGGACCTCAAAAATCTGAAATTATTTTTTGAAGGGCAAGCCCCTTGTAGTACAGGTTTTCCCTCCTAGGTAAGTGTTCTAAGACCCCATTGGCATCAGTGTTCCAGCTAGCACTGCTGTGAGAGGTTGCGTTCGGCTTCAGTTAATTTTTTTGGAGATCTTTCAACATGTTTGCCCACTTCATGATGGGTGATTCACGAGTGCACCTGCCCACATCACACTGAGTGTTCAGGAGTTTTTGACCAAAACCAGCACGACCCCCACGTCCCACCCTCCCTATTCACTATCCGTGACTTTTTTGTTTTGTTTTCCAGGACGAAAAAAAGTCCTCAAAGGGAACTGTTTTGGAAGAGGTGAAACGAAAAATGACATGAGCACTAAAAGGCATCAAAATTGACAAGCTCAAAAATTATTTTGAGCAGTGGAAAAAAGTGTCTCTATAGGTGTGCTGCATCAAACAGAGAACACTTTGAAAGTGACTGAAGTTTAAACTTGTAAGAATAAAAACACAAATGTTATAAATAAATTCTGAACTTTTTGAGCTCTCCCTCGTACATTTGATAAAGGAATAGTAACCAAAATATATAAGGAACTTAAACAACTCAATAGTAAGGAAATAACTCAATTTGGGCAAAAGGATCCATCAACAATTAACTTACGAATCCAACAGATAAACAGATAAAGAAAATGTGGTATATGGATACAATGGAACATTATTAAGCCTTAAAAAATAAAAATAATCCTGTCACTCAGACTCGGTGGCTCAGTCTGTAATCCCAGTGCTTTGGGAGGCTGAGGTGAGTGGATTGCCTGAGCCCGCGGGTTCGAGACCCGCCTGGGCAACTTGGTGAGACCTTATCTCTACAATAAATCAAAAACATTAGCCGGGCGTGGTAGCGCGCGCCTGTAGCTCCAGCTACTTGGAAGGCTGAGGCGGAAGGATCGCCAGAGCCCAGCAGGTCGAGGCTGCAGTGGCTGGGAGCGGCCACTGCACTCCAGTCTGGGTGACAGAGTGAGACTCCAACTCAAAATACATAAATAAATAAATAATCTTGTCATTTGCAATAACATAGAGAACACTATGGCAAAAGAAATAAGCCAGGTATAGAAAGACAAAATACATACTCTCATTCACATACAGGCAGTTAAAAAGTTGAATCCATAGAAATAGTGAGTGCAATGGTGGTTACCAGAGGCTGGAAGTTGGAGGGATGGGGAACATTTTGTCCAAAGGACACAAAATTTCAGTTTACAGGAAGGAATAAGTTCAAGAGCGCTCTAGTACAACACGGTAACTACAGTTAACAACAACATATTGTATATATGAAAGCTATAGAGAGTGTAGATTTCAGGTATTCTCGCTGAAAATAAATATGTGATGTAATGCATATGTTTAATGCTTGATTCGGCCATTCCACAATGTATATATATGAAAACATCATGATTTACACCATAAAGACATACAATATTTACTTGTCAATTAAAAAAGTAAATTTTAAAAATGGGGCACAATGATAATTTTAAAAAACAACATATTTCCTGAATAAGTCAAGTCTATGTTAAAGGTGAGAACCAGCATGACTGCTTGAGCGATTTATCCCATTCAATAAGCTGACATTTGTTAAGTGACTGAAAGAGCATGAGTTATGCAAATGGTAGTCCCCTGCCCTTCCCCACTTTGGTCCAAAACACTCACCTTTAGAGTTGGAGAAGACCCAACGTAAATGGGCGGAGGATTTCCTTGCCAACCTTCAAGACGATAGATGTGTCCAACACGAGAACAAGGGACGAACAATAACTTGCCGCCACACTGCCATATCTATCAAGGAAAGAAATGCATTGTGGGAGTTGCTTCATGTGCAAAAGCAAGCGGTAAGCGAAAATGTGTCTTGTAAACGTAAGTCTAAAACCAAAATTAGATACCGTCCATATGGAATCCATACTAAACAGATCCTAAGATAATGTGCTTGTTTTTAAAATTCATCTAACGAGGAAGGCAGTAGGGGATACAGTGATGAGATGCTGACAAGGGGGGCTATTCCTGGACACCGGTGGCCCCCGCAAACTTGTCCTGATATAGCCTTACAAAGTCTTCAGGTTACGCATTCCTAACTCAGCCATCCTTTCCACTGCTAGTCTGTTTCCTACCTGGGTGATTATTATAACAGACTCCCAGCTGGATTCTTTACCCTCGGCATCTCTCTGCTTAACTCTGTCCTTATTTATAGCGACAGATTACTATGGCTGAAGGGCACCTTCGGGTCATGTTATTCCCTTGCCTTGTATCTTTGATGGTTCTCACTGCTTATCACATTAGGTGAAAATCCCTTCACTTGGCTTTCAAGGCTCTTTTCAATGTGGCCCTAGTGCACCTGCCCACTTCATCTTCAAGATCAGGGGCCCCCAGCCCAGGCCACAGACTATTACCAGTCTGTGGCCTGTTACAAACTGGGCTGCACAGCAGGAGGTGAATGAGCAAAGCCTCATCTGTATTTATAGCCACTTCCCATCGTTTGCATTACTGCCTGAGCTCCGCCTCCTGTCACATCAGCGGCAGCATTAGATTCTCACAGGAGCTGCGAACCCTGTTGTGAAATGTACACGTGAGGGATCACTTTCTTTATCCATTCAGCCAACAGATAAACGGATAAAGAAAATGTGGTATATGGACACAATGAACATTACTGCGTGTACCTTATGAGACTCTAATGCCTGATGATCTGAGGTAGAGCTGAGGCAGTGATGCTAGCACTGGGGAGCAGCTGCAAATACAGATGAACATTAGCAGTGAGGTTTGACTGCACAGAGACCATGATAAGTCAACTGCTTGCAGACTCATATCAAAATCCTATTAGTGAGTGGCAAGTGAGTTGACGTGCTTCAGTTGTACAGCTGCATCTGGTGGCAGGCGTTGAGTCAGAATCTGACACTTATTTTAGTCCATGTGTGGCCTGCCCATTATTTTATTTATTACTTCCATCTGTGCCTCTTTTTCTTTATGGCGAGTTGTATAATTATTTCATTATATATTGCAATGTAATAATAAGAGAAATAAAGTGCACAATAAGTGTTATGTGCTTTAATCATCCCAAAACCACCCCGCCCCCGCCAGTCAGTGGAAAAATTATCTCCCACGAAACCAGTCCCTGATGCCAAAAATAGGTGGGGAACCGCTATTCTAGATGTTTTCCTTGTTTGTGCTGCCTCCCCACCACATGGGGCACCTTGCTGGCTCCTGCATGCGTCCCTTCCTCAGGCTGTCTCCCTCTACTTCTCCCTGCTATACTTGCCTAGAAGTCCCTTCCCTCCCTCATCTCTGTGTGTTGACATTGTGCTGTGTTTCTAGTTCTGCAGCAAATCCTACCCCCAGCATGACGCTGGTTCCTAATCACACCGGCTGAATGCCAGTCTGCCTTCTCACCACATCACTTATTTAAGCTGACTCTACTCTGTTCTTATCTACTGCAGGGTCCTTGAGAGCTGGGACCCGGGGCTCTGTTTCCACCCCTCAAGGCACCAAGCACAGGACAATTAAGACAGGAGGTAACGAATACCTGTTTAACTCAAACTATGCAGGAGCATTGCTCAGGGACTGGCCCGCCAATAGGAAGTGAGCAGGAGACAGCTCCAGGGCCAGGCTGAGGATGCCGTCACTGTGGGGCTTTGCTTCTGTCTTTTTTTGTGTTTTGTTTTTGTTTTTTTTTTTGAGTTGGAGTCTCACTCGGTTGCCCAGACTGGAGTGCAGTGGCTGCTTCCGGCCACCGCAGCTTCAACTTGCTGGGCTCTGGCGATCCTTCCACCTCAGCCTTCCGAGTAGCCAGAATTACAGGCGTGCACTACCACACCCGGCTGGTTTTTTGATTTGCTGTAGAGATGAGGTCTCGCTTCCCAGGCGGTCTCAAACCCGTGGGCTCAGGCAATTCACTCACCTTAGCCTCCCAAAGGCGCGGGATTACAGGCTGAGCCACCGAGTCCGGTGCTATTGTATTGTTTTAACTTTTTGTTTTGTTCACTTTTGTTTCCTTTTTGAGTTAGAGTACCTCTTTGTGTTGGGGAAGAACACATCAAAAGGCATGATTTTATTGGACAGTCTTTGTGTGATTACCAGTATGCTTTAGGGAATTTTCTTTGTCTGTTTTTCACTCTTTTCTGGCCTTTTTTCTCTTTTCATTTGTTAGTTTGTATGTATGTCTGTTTTCCGTCATACTCTCCTCTCTCTCCAACATTCTCTTGACCCCCTTCCTTCCACTTTTTTTTCCTTTTCCTTACCTCATTTTGTTCCAGGGAGCAAACTAAAACCCCACTGCATGAATAGATTGTAAGGCAGTGGGAAGCGGAATCCAGGGTGCCCATACACATGCCGGTGGATATGTATATGCAGATAAACTCTCAGTCACAGCTTCTACCTCAATTAAATCTCAAAACTGTAAAAAGAACAGTCCCCAACCCACAGTCCAGTCTCAAAAATGAAGAAAGGAAGAGGATCCTCAGATGAAAGAACAGGAGAATGAACAAAAAGAAGTAAAAGTAACCCCATCTTCCCTGAAAAACAGAATTACAGAAGGCGAGGGAAAAGGGAAGTGAAAAATCTAAACAAATGAAGAAAAATCAAAGGAAGAATATGGGTCTCTCACAAACCCCTGTGACTTTAGACACTGAAAAAACAGACTTCTGAATGCAAATAATGAAGAGACCCAGAAGAGTGGTCTCAAATTACAAACCCAGATATCAAGACATTAATAAAGAGAATTAGCCAGGCTCGGTGGCTTAGCCTGTAATTCTGTGCCTTTGGGAGGCTGAGGTGAGTGGATTCCCTGAGCCTGTGAGTTCAAG